TACCTGCCTCCCTCCACCCCCACCCCCTTCACACCTATGGCCAGCCCATCAGTGAGGTTGTGCAGACCATCTCCCAGGAGGACCATCCATGTTATACTGGTGTCACTGCCACCCTGGTGCCCGTGACTGTGGCCTTGGTGCCCAGAAAGGGCTGGGGCTGGTGGGGGCTGGCTGTCCTGCTCGCTGTAGCCCAGAGCCCCTGGCTCTGCAGGAAGAAAGACAAGGACAGTGTTGGTGGCTGCAAGTGAGACTGGGAACCTACTCTTCATCGTCTGCTCTGGTCACCTGGAGCTGCCGGTCGGGGCTGAAGTGCCATCCCGCTGCCATCCTCCGGATCCAGGTTTGGTGTTCTGAGATCCTTTCTTTTCCGCCTGCAGCACCTCTAAAATAGGAGGGTATCCCTCCTGGTGGAGGAGGCAGCAACACCAGGGGCTAAGGAGAGACCAGGCTACTGGATGGGAAAATGAACGCCTGGTTCTGTTTCTGGCACTTGGGGATGTTTTTTGGCTTCTACTCTCTTCCCAGCTTGGCACCTCCCTGCTGTTGCCTCGAACTCAGAAGCGGAAGCTGTTGGGCCAGGCAGAGTCCTGAGTCTATGCTGAGGGACTCTACCCATTCCCTATTAGCAGTCAGGGCCGGCAGTCAGGCAAACGGCGAAGCCAGGAGCACACTTGGCCCCTCACCTCCTGGTTCATGTGGCCAGTTCTTGGGCAGGACTCTGGTGTCAGCAGGAGGAAAAAGGGGGTCACTCACTGGCCTTAGCTCTTGGTGCCGCAAAATCCCTAGCACGTTCTCCAGCAAGAAGAGCAGGAAGAGACCGCCAAGCACTGACAGCCCTGGGCCCAGGTTTTCCTCCGGTCGCCCACTAGGTCCGGCGTGGTGCCCTCCTTGTGCCTGACAGAGAGGAGGTCAGGACAGGTCCCCAAAAGCCCTGCATCCCATAACATTCTCCCATAACATCCCATAACATCCTCCTCCTGGTGGGAGGTGGCAAGCCTTGCACATTCTACTAGAAGGCAGGCTGCGGGCTGACAGAGGTGGAGGGGATGTCCCATGACTGGGAACATCTCGGGTGTGAGGGGCTGTCTGCTGAAGGGGGTAGGGAATGAGGAAGGGGCTCCACGTACATGTGGCAGCAGGTGTAGCAGCGCGTCCCCACAAAGTGTGCCCACAGCCATGGCCCCTAGGAAGCCCAGCAGGGGCCGCAATAGATGAGATCCAAGGAGCCGCAGCAGCAACAAGGAGAGGGGAGCAGGGAGGCTGAGCAGCAGGACTGCCAGGGTGCTGTGAACCAGGGCTGGGGAGAATCAGGGGCTGAAGTCAGGCCAGGGCTAGGGGGAGGGGCTCAGAGACAAAGATACACTGCGAGGGGAGGCAGGACCCAGTGAGCCCCCTTCCTTGGCTTGGAGCCCACTCCCTACCAGGACTCAGGGTGCCCTACCAGCCACTCTCACCCACTGACCAGACAGTAGATCCCCTGGCGGGGTTGGAACTGGGGCTTGGATGCAGACACGGCTGTCGATCTGATAAAGCAGGGCTGGGCACAGCAGAGCAAACTGACGAGGGGTGAGAGGGACGGCGGGGCTCAGGCCAAAATTGACCAGCAGCTGGGAGCCATTCAGACACTGGGGAGGTGAGTTGGGAGTCACACACTGAACTGTGACGCACACCTGCCCTTGTAGCACGTGGGCTACTGGGTCTTTCCCAGGCCCCTGTGCATCGGGGACTAGGTACAGGTACATGTAAGCAGTGTGTGTTCATCATCAGTGACTATTTGACCCAATACCAATGTTCAGTTCAATGCAGATTGGGTGCTGGTGAACATTGCCACCATCTCCCTCCCTCCCAAGCACCTGATGGTTTCATTGATTTGGTCATGGATTCAGTGGGATGACTAGAACTCTCCAGTCCAGATTCTTGGAAAAGAACCTGAAATGCCATCAACCTTCCTTTTAACAGCCCTGTCACATATTTATCCAGCCTTTGGCTTGACTACTTCCTGTTCTGGGGCACTCACTCTCCCAGGCCTGCTTCAGGGTTCGCTCTGTAGCTTTGACTGCCCTCTGGTGTATGTGGAACAAGTTCACTGTCTTTTTGGATGAAAACAGATGTCTGTTCCCTGCAGGCCCCTGTCCAGATAACCAGTCCCACAGCCTACCCTGGCCCACTTCTCTGGTTTCTGTGCTTTGTCGAGTGTGTGACCGCTAAGCTGGTTCTTGGAGTCCTGAGCGTGGCTATCTGCCCTGAGCCCAGAGGGAACATACTTCGTATTGGAGTAACATACCCCAACACCACAGTTGGATTTTTAAAAAGTAACTGTTAAATTACTGACTCCTTCCCTGGCTGGTGTGGCTCAGGGAACTGAGTGCCAGCTTGCGAACCAAAGGGTCACTGGTTTGATTCCCAGTCAGGGCACAAGCCTGGGATGCAGGATAGGTGCCCAGTTGGGGGCACGCGAGAGGCAACCACACACTGATGTTTCTCTCTTTCTTTCTCCCTTCCTCTTTCTCTAAAAATAAATAAAAAATATATTTTTTAATTACTAACTCTTTAAACATTTCATGCCATCTAAACCCCGTGGCTCGTTTCCCCGCTCATCAGACTCACGGCCTCATTCAGGTGGTCAGCCAGTGAATGGTCCAGCAGCAGAAGCCTGTGAAAGAGGTCCAGGCCCGAGGGGGCTGGCCCACGGGGTGGTGGTGACGCCTTGGGCTGCTCAGGGTCACCCCACCCCGAGGGACCCAGAGGCAGCTCTGCCCAGACATCCACATTCCATTCAGGGTCTTGTGGCCTGGAACAGATGGGTGGGTAGAAAGTCAGACTTGCCCTTGTTCTCTGAGAAACCCCCCTCGAGAGGCTGCCAGGGAGGTTAGGGGAAAACGGAAGACCAGCCGCTGGCTGGAGTTCCTGGGACCCAGAAACCAAGGGAATGTCGGTCCTGGGAGGATCTGAGAACTGTCAGTTACTACAGGAATGGGGGACATGGAAGTGATAGGAAATAGGAGTTGGGGGACAGCAAAAAGGGCTGCAAACTGGGAGCCAAGGCGGCCTGGAGACACTGAGCCCTGGGACTAAAAGCAAGGGACTGAAGGGTACAGGGATCTGGAAGAGAGGACTAGAAGGTGACAGAGGCGAAGGGGACCTTGAGGGGATACAAGGAGTCAGGTCCCCCCAGATTTGTAATCCTAGGAATTTGATTTCCGGAGCCAGAGAGTTTAGGCCCTGGAGACCGATCTAAGCACTGAAAAGAGCCGGGAGGTGGGATTCGGCGTTGGGGGAAGGGGTTAGTACCTGTGAGTGGAATTGTCTCCAGCAGGGGCTGCAGTGTGACCCGCAGGAGACCTGTAGTGTCCCAGGCGCAGCCCCTGAACCTGGCCGAGCCCCAGACTGTGCAGAAGCCTGGCGAGGCCCCCTGCAGACAGCGTGCCGTTCTCCCCGTACAGGCCAAACAGCTGGGCCAGGTAATGGCTCTGCTCCAGCTCAGCAGGGTCCAGGTCAGGTTCTGAGCCCCCTCCCCAGCCCAAGGCTGCACATACACATATGGCCACCAGCAGATGACTCATTGGGAGCCCCATTTTCAGGGGGAGCTGGTCAGAGGCTCTGGATCCAGCTTCTATTCCCCCTGGAGCATCCTGAGGACTGTGCCCTGGAAGAACGAGGAGGAAGGGTCAGCGCTCCTGCTCAGCTGTTCAGTGCAGGGCCACAGGAGACCCCTCATGCTCAGACAGCGCCCCCATTAAATCTAGCAGAAGCCTCCACTGCAGCCTCTGTCCTCCTTCCCTATTACCTCCTCCTGGATGGGCCTCTCATTTGCCAGCTTCTAGAACACCTTCCCTGACTCAGGGTGCTCCCCTTACCCAATCCAGAGCTGACCATCTGTTCCCTGTCCCCTAAACCCCAACCTTCAACCTTGCCCCCTCTTTCTATCCCTCCACAGTCCCCAGAACCCCATCCCCACTGGTAGTATAAGAGCCCCATCACCTCAGGTCCTTGTCATGCCTCGCTGTGGACACTAAGAGGTTCCCGTCAGAGAGGGGAGCCAGCTGGGCCCAGCCTCTGGCTCCCAGGTGGAATGGAAGCCACGTCAGATGGAAGGCTGGGATGGATAAGCCCGCCCCTCTTAGCCCACCTGCCTTGGGCGGGGTCAGGGGTGGGGCAAGAGTGGGAAGGCACACGTGGGAGAGGAGTTAATGGTTCACTGGTCTCTTGGGTGGGGGTCAAAGGTCAGTCTCTGCTGGGGGGGCCCCCAGTAGGGAGGGGCCACCCTCTGCCCCTGGAAAAGCCACATGGCTAAGGAGAATCTAGGCCTGGTCTTTTCTTCTAAATAATCCACCCCTTAACTCAGTTGGTACTATTTTAGCCTTTCCCTGCACATGCCCCCACCCCACCTACCTTACATCTGGCAGTGGGCTTCATTCAGCTCCACCCCCATCCCCACATTTCCTGGGAAAGCTGGCCCCAGGTGTTCCTAAGCTGCTGAGGAAGGTCAGGAGGCAGATAAGTGGTGACCCCTCACACTTGGAAAATGAATTGTTTTTAGCAATTCTTCACCCCAGAGAGTAGGAGCCAGACCTCTGGGAATCAATGGCCAAGAAAGGGGCAGCTCTGCGGGGACAAGGGAAGAAGTATCTGGGCTCTCCTCGGATGTCCGACCTTGCTTAAGACCAGGGGAGCTGTCTGACCAGGGCAATTGATCCAGGGGGTCGAGGTTGGTATTACCTGGCGGCAGGAGGCAGAAAGGAGCAGAAAGGACGCCCAAAGGAAGGGGGACACAGCCTTCTTGGTTACAGCTGTGAGGTGGGGTAGACAGGCAGGCGGGCAAGGGTCACCTGCAGGGAGGGGGCGGGGGAGGGACACTACCTTAAAGGGGCAGGCCTGCTTTGCCTAAGCCTCTTTACTAGTGACCAATCTCCTCTCCACCTCCCAGGGACACCCCACTTTCCCAAACACCCAGCTGCTAACCTCTTCATTTTTCCCACAAAAAGCAAAGGAGTCCAGTACAGAGTGGTAACATTTATTGAGAAGAAGGGATTCAATTAGACTTCCATGTCATACATGAAGAAGAAAGAGACTGTAACTGTTGCTTTTAAAGAGGAAGAAAGGCAGGCAGAGGGCCCCGAATTCCAGGGCACGGGCAGCTTCAGCTGGACAAGGGGAGAGTATGGGCTTAGGGTGGATAAGGCCACTTCTCACCACCCTTCAGTGAAGTTTAGTGGCTAAAATACTGCTACCTACCTCTTCCCACCCCCAATCCAGCAGCCCAGTAGAAGGCTGTGTTCTTCAGCGGACACTTGGGTTATGGTCAGTGGTGGGACGTGAGGAAGAAGGTCTTGCTATCTCTTGCTGCTCCTCCGGGTTTCTTTGCCGTTACTGACAGGGTTGTTGGAAGAGCCAGGAGGGCCAGCAGCTGTGTGGTTGGGCTGGCTTCTGGTAATTCGGGTGCTGGGGGCGTGGGAAGGAGTGTGAGGGGCGTGTGGGCCACCACCAGGACCAGGTGAGGCAGTCAGTCCGTTCCCGTTCTGGCTCTCAGAGGCTAGGAGTGGGGAAAGGGCAAGAAACACAGGAATTAGAGAACTAAGGCAGGAGAGGAGTCCATCCCCAGGGAGTAGGGGTCTTCGGTCAAGCACAGCTGCACACTAAGGCCAACTGGGCCGAACGCAGATAGTGTGGGGAGTGTGCCCAGAGTCCCAGGGAAGGCTCAGTCACCCTGGAAGTTGCTATATGAATTGCAGTTCAGTATTTTTCTTTAATTCATCTCTGCATCATTGGGAGCCAGACCTAGAATCAGCTGTTTAGTTCTAGGCTCAAGGACCTCTGACAAAAAAATGCCCCTTTACCAAAAGTGACTGTAAAACTTGATAGGCACGGGAAGGGGAAGGGCCTGAAGTGTCTGTGTTATAAGAAGGATTTTTTTTCTCTAAATTTTTAGAAAGAGGGGAAGGGAGGAAAAAACATCGATGTGTGATCCGTTGCCTCTCGCACACCCCCAACTGGGGACCTGGCCTGCAGTCCAGGTGTGTGCTCTGACTGGGAATCGAACTGCCAACCTTTTTGGCTCACAGGCCAGCACTTAATCCACTGAACCACACCAGCCAGGGCCCAAAAAATAATTTTTTTTTAATTAAAAAACTAGCCCTGGCTGGTGTAGCTCAGTGGATTGAGCTCGGGCTGTGAACCAAAGGGTCACCAGTTCGATTCCCAGTCAGGGCACATGCCTGGGTTGCAGGCCAGGTCCCCAGTACGGGTCATGTGAGAGGCAACCACACATTGATGTTTCTCTCCCTCTTTTTCTACCTCCCTTCCTCTCTCTCTAAATAAATAAATAAATAAATAAAATATTTTTTATTTTATTTTATTTATTTATTTTTAGAGAGGGAAGGGAGGGAGATAGAGAGAGAAACATCAATGTGCGGTTGCTGGGGGTTATGGCCTACAACCCAGGCATGTACCCTGGCTGGGAATCGAACCTGCGACACTTTGGTTCGCAGCCCGCGCTCAATCCACTGAGCTACGCCAGCCAGGGCTTATAAATAAATAAAATCTTTTAAAAAATTTTAAAAATTAAAAAATTAGAAAGCATGCTTGATCTCTCTCTCTGGAGCACATCTGCTTGAACCTTCTTCTCCAACACCCTGTCATTAGCTGCAAGGCCCTTCTTTTGCCTCTGCAACTGGTTTCCTTATCCCATTTGTTCTAGAGTTCACTTTTACTACCTCTGTAATTTTCTAAATAAACTTTCTCTTGTTTAAAAAAAGGGTATGGAGTGTATCACAATGATACATGTTCATTTTGGAAAGTATGGATAAGAATAAGAAAAATAATTATTATAAATACTCTTACCCCACCCCACCCAATATCAATAATAAGTATCATTGTATGTGTATTTTAAATGTGCGACTGAAGCCAGATGTGTGAGATGACTTCCTGGAGCTCCCATAACTGCACTTATTGCTACCATCCTTGCACTTACAGTGTTTTACTGTCATCGTCTGTGTAACTATCTCCTTCATAGATGACAAGCTCCTAAAGACAGGTACTGTGTTTCATTCCTTGGCATCCCTCATCTATAAAAGTTTGTTAGATGGCCCTGGCTGCTGTGGCTCAGTGGATTGAACGCTTGCCTGCAGGCTGGGGGTCGCAGGTTCAATTCCCAGTCAGGGCACATGCTTGGGTTGAGGGCCAGGTCCCCAATGCACCAGAGGCGACCACACATTGATGTTTCTCTTCCTCTCCTCCCTCCCTTCCCCTCTCTCTAAAAATACATTAAAAAACAAAGTTTGTTGCCCTGGCTGGTGTAGCTCAGTGGATAGAGCGACAGCCTGTGAACCAAAGGATTGCCAGTTCGATTCCCAGTCAGGGCACATGCCTGGAGTGCGGGCCAGGTCCCCAGTAGGGGGCATACGAGAGGCAACCACACATTGATGTTTCTATCCCTTTCTCCTTCTCTTCCTCTCTCTAAAAATTACAAAAAAAAAAAAAAAAGTTTGTTAAATGAAGGCAGCCTGCCTGCCTCTCTTGTACACAGGGCACTATGAACGCTAAACGGGGTAGAAGTCATAGGCTAGTGCTTCTCCAACCACATTCCTGTTGAACCCTGCTCCACCAGAAAGATATCTCAGCCAGAACTGAAGAATAATACCCCTTCCTCAATTCACAGGAAAATGGAGGGTGTATTAGAAGGTCAATGTTGATACCAGACATGTTTTTGGTAAGCCTTCTGTATCTACTGGCAGAAGACAAAGTGAATAAATACCTGGCAAATGAATATCGGGACAAATAGGCTTAAATGTATCTTAATTAAAATATTTGTATGGAGATCTGAAAATGTATAATTTTCAGTCGTATTTCCAGTTGAAAACATGGATGCTAATTTTTGTGGTGGAATTAAATGTCATTATTTCATGGTGTTTCCAAAAAAACCAAACACATGACCCCTGGGGGTTCTGACACAAACAATTGTGAAACCATGGTAATTGGGGATGCAGACACAAACTGAGGAAGGGTAGAGACAGCTTGAAGCCTAGTGTCATGGAGAACCTCATGCACGCTCCGCTCCGAGGCAGAAGACAGCCAAACACTCGGAACAGTAGGGTCAGCTGAGAGAGGACTCAGAGGGAGAAAAGAGCAGTAAAAACCAGTTTCCTGAGGAGAAGCCCCTACAAGACAAAGGAGGTGGTGTTGGTGAGCGATTCTAATTAAAAGCTGATGATCTGCAGAAAGGCGTCAATTTTTCAAAAGGACAAAAAGCAGAAGCTTCAAGTGCATAAGGTGGAAGAATTGCAATTCTATGGCCTAGAAATGGGGCCTTTAGTTTCAGGAAGAGTCGTGATCCCAACAGGGACTATTTAGTGCTCGAAAGCTGTGCGGTGTGGGCTCTGTGTGGAGTCATGGAAGCAACACCGTATAATGGGTAACGAAGGAAAGGGCAAGGCTCTGCCAGAGAAGAGGCAGACAGAAACAAGCTAGAATGAAGGAGTACAATCTTTGGGGACAAACTGTTCTCATTTTTGACTTTGAGTGGTAGTGGCAAAAGGGTGCCAGGGCTCTGTCCGTGATTGAAACAGATCCCCAAATCTTGCAAAAGAACTGGGAGAAGAACTGGGTGGAAGGGTATGCACTGAGAGAAGAGAGATTTGGAAAATTAGTGAGGGCTGTACATCTCTCCAGGCTCGGGAGAGTAGGGGAACTAGGTGGTCCAGTGAATGGAAGGGAATAGGTTTACCTGGAGAAGCAGCAGGGGGTCCGGTGGTAGGCTGGGGAGTGGTAGAGCTGCTGTCGTTCTGCACCTGAAGGCACAAATTACACTCAGACCTTGCTTCCTACCATGCCTCTTGGCCGGACCTGCCCTCTCCATCACGACCATGGGACTCACCGTTTTGTTGGGTGCCTGCTGGGCATTGTACTCTGGGTTTGGCTCACTGAAATTAGGAACCTCGGAGTAAACCATACAGAATCTGCAAGGGGAGAAGGTGGCCACAGCCTCAGACCCATCCTTTGGACCACTGCTGGAGGCCTCAAAAAGGTCCAGATACAGGACATGAACTGCATACCCTTATGCTGCCTCCTTCCTTACAAACCTTGAACTTACTCTCTTGGCCTGCTGCTTCTAACATTCCAATCCCCAAGCCAGCACTTACTCTCCAATCTTCTGAAGATCACCCCCACGGCCAGTGTACAGTGTCAGACAACCTTTGAACACTGAAGCGTACCTGTGGGGGCACAAAAAGCAGGATTCAGAGTACTCAGAAGAGCTAGGGGACTGTAACCCACCCCTTTGACTGTTACTGCTCTTGGACAACCAAGGGTCACCAGCTAGCTTACCCTTTGGTAAGCCGGATAATGTCCCCAGGTTGGATCAGGTTGCCCACATCGTCCCAGACGGAGATATTGATGCTGCCCGTTTTGTCTGCCACTTTGCAGGTCCGAACCTCGTGACCATCCTTTGTCTTGGTCACTCGACCTGATGGGAACAGATAAACGGCCAGAGGAATGGTCAGAAGAATGAGATCTAGATATATTGGTGGGGTGCGGGAAAAGTTGTACAAACAGGATAAAGCCAAATCTCTGGGGTAGGCTGGGGTGGAGGTGGGAAATGGAGGGGCTGCATCATGGAGAGGGCGCTGAATGGAAAGAGGCCGTGTGGCACTGGAGGCTTGGATCTGGTGAGATTCCATCTACCCTACATCTCACTGCAACTATCTGGGCTGGGGTCTAGGAGAGCAACTGGGCACGATCCATGTCTTGGGGTGCTTCCTGCCACCCAGGGAGCAAGTTAAGAACGGAGGCGATGTTTTTCCCCTTCTGTCCCCCAACCCTGAGAATCCCCCCCCCCCGCCCCCAGAGGGCCCACTGCCCCAGCATAGCCACCTGTCTCCAGCACAATGAAGATGAGGTTCAGATTCTTGAGTCCGGGCTTGATATCCTTCACGAAGGTCTCCGTCGTCATGCTGCCTCAGCCTCAGCACCCCACTAGAAAGGGGAAAAGAGGATGAAGGCTCAATGCTTGGAGCGTGCGCCCCCATGCTCCACTTCCCAAGGTCTTACCTACCACAATCGGCCGGGGTCAGGCAGCCTCAAACCCTCTAACTCTTCTAAAAGGTTAGAAACGAACTTCCCTGGGGACCTCCAACTTCAAGATCAGAATTTGGGTGTTTCTGGATAGGCTGCTTCGGGGCTGGAATGCCCCTTCCCGAGATGCTCTTTCAGTCTCAAGCCCCGCGTTGGGGGAGCCGACGGAGAGGTGGGTAGGGAACCCGGTGCAGAGTCAGGGAATAGAATCTTAGTCTCCAAACCTTCCCGAACCCTTATACGGACAAGCCGGGACTCGGTCCATCCCCTCCCCCAACCACAGCCCACCACCCACCCAGGCAGACGGCAGGACGGTATATGCTGCTAAACCACCCGCAGGGGGAGCTACATGCCCCACTGCCGCCGGATGCAGCTCATTGGAACGAGGGAGTGTGAGCATTCCCGGAAGTTTCCCTTAGCCTCCTCCAACCAATCAACACGGTCTTGGAGGGCCCCGCCTATGGCCCACCCAGCCAATCGGAGACCGCGATTCACGCGCCGCGAAGCGGGGTATTCCAGGTATTCCGGGAGGCTGAGAACTGATGGGCTTAGCAATGAGAAAGATAGACCACCAGGGGACGCCTCGGGTTCCAGTTTTCCTTTACTTGACTGGGAGAATGCACTTAGGACACGGGTGTCAAATTCATTTTCTCCAGGGGTCACATCAGCCTCGCGGTTGCCTTCAAAGGGCCGAAATAATTCTAGGACTGTATAAATGTAACTACTCCTTAATTGTTAAGGAGTTGAAATTACATTCGGCCCTTTGAAAGTAACCGCGAGGCTGATGTGGCCCCTGGTAAAATGAATTTTACACCCCTGATTAGGATCTAATATTTTGTTTCTATCTTGGACGTGTTACAGTGGAGAAATAACCAAGAGTTTTGGAATCCGGCAGACAAAAGTTTGAAACCTGACACAGCGCTTCACTTATTTCCCGACAATTCTTAAATATGTAATTTTGCAGACAAGCAAACGGAAATTAAAAGCAGTGCGTAGCATGCGGCAAGCAGTTTACTCTTCTCTCACTGCCTTAACCCTCATCTTTATTCCTGGTTTGGGATCCTTCATCATTAACACACTATCTAGCTTGGTCAGGGTCTCCAAAAGTGGCATTCACACCACAGACAATACGCAGACTCGGCCCCTTGGAAGAAATGGGACCTTGGGTAGAGAGCAACATTTGCGTTAATCCCTCTCACAATTGCAAACGCACTTGTTTCCAACGCTGTAGTCTCACTGATCTCAGCCCCCAACCCCCAGATGACTGAAAAGAGACCTGAACCTTTAGTTCCCTTTGGGACTTGCTGGTCAACAAAAGGTAGCCAGCTCAGTAATGTTGTGCATAAGCCAAATACATATAAACAAATACACATATATGTGCATTGCCATCTGTTTGGTGAATATCCTAGCAAATACTACTTAATATTAGATCAGCCTAAGAGGTTGTGTAATTGTGTTGCTTTCGCAGCTTAATTAATTAATCCTTTACCTTCCTCTAGAGCGCTTTAGGCTCCACCCTGACTTTCCTCGGAGCTCAGATTCTCTTCCGCCCACCCCCAACCAAGGTGTTGTATTCTAAGGAAATCAAACCCAGAAAGAGGGACATTTAAGCTCCCTTCTCTCCCCTTAGGTGTTTCAAGGAATTCTACGAGCGTTCAGAGAGCCAACGTATATGGCAGGAGCAGGGGTAGTAGAGAGATAGGCAACGCATTGGACACCCTAGATCAAAGCTTTGCGACCAGATACTACCCCATTCCCCACGCGTTGGTCGCCTTGTTGACACAGTATCCACTCCCATGACTATGAGTCATAGGGTCGGAAGGCTCTGGGACGCTGAGCACGTCTCTGGAAAACAGAGAGGGGCCTGGCAGGTAGCAGGTCACACTGCAGGCCAGTCAACTCGAGACGATCTCGTACCACGCCGCATCAGCCCCAGGACACAGGACACGTGCGCCCCTCCAAAGCGAAGTCTCGCTCTTCAAGAAAGTCTACCTCAGAATTCGCCCCTGACGTTCCCACAGGGAGTATAGAGTCTGCCCTCCCCGAATGGCTATATAGTCCTCGTTGGGACCATAAAGACTTCCGGTCTACAGCGGAGGCCTGGCTAGCTTTCCTCCCTCTTCGTTGGCCGCTCGTAGCTTCTAGTCTAGGTCTGAGTTAAAACAAAGAGGCGGGTTTGGTGACGAGCTTCCGCCGGGTTGCGTAGCAGCGGTGGGCGGGGCAAAGGACTGTCTCAACAGCTCCGAGTGGTTGGAACCTTTCTCCCTCTCCTTCCCTTCCCCTTCCCCTCCCAGGAAAGGCTGAGGCACGGCACCGGGGCTGTCCCGTGGCCGCTGCGGCCTCAGCTACAGCCCGGCTGGGGTACGGAAAGTCCAGGCCGCTTCCAGGGCGGTGCGTACTGCGCCTGCGCGGGCTCACACCTAAAAGAGGGTGTGGGAAGGGAGGGGGCGATGTCCCAGGTATTGGAGCCGGGGTTCGAGATATTGGAGGGCAGGATAAGGGGTGGGAGTAAAGATGAAAAATGGAGGAAGGGAGCAGCAATAGGAGGAGTCGGGAGGTGATAATGGGGTGCAGGAGGGTGGATTGTTGGGGAGCTCCATTGGAGCCTTAAGCGCGGGAGGGTGCCTACGCGGGCTGGAGGGCAGGAAGGAGGGGACCTGGGTGAACAACGTGGTGTTTAAATGGGCAGTGATTGACGGGCTGGGAGGAGAAGAGAGCATTCTGGGGGCTAGCCCGGGCAGGGGTGGTGGAACCTGAGCCCCCGCCTTCTAAGCGCCATAGCTTGGCTCCTCTCCCATGCCTTGTCTTTGGCAGCCTTGTCTTCCTCCTCCATTCCTTCCCCCCCCTCCTACCCTTCCGTGAAGGAATCTCACATTCCTTACATCCCTGCCCTGGGTTTGCGGCCAAGCCCTCTTCGCAGGCTTCACACACCGGAAAGCCTTCTCCAATGTAGGACACGGGAAATAGAGGAATGGGGAGGAGGGGTCTGAAGAAGGAGCAGAAAGCTAAGAGGGCTAAGGGTGTTTTGCTTAGGGGACTCACAGACCTTGTCCCCATTCAGAAACTGACTTTATTCCGCCTAATAGCAAATTTGACTGTTAGGATCACTGAGCCACTGTTCTTGGGGACTGGGCCGTGATAGTGCTAGTCTAATCCCTTACTATACAGGTGGTTTTAGAATCTGACAACGGGATAAGAAGTTACTGGCAGATAGTTTTCGCCCAAATAGGAATGCAGTAGACTAGTGGTAGCGAATCTGAGTGATGCAATAATGTAAATACCCTGTGTGTCCAGCTGACTTGTGACTGGGTCTGGTTCCCAGTAATTGAAAAGAAAAAACAAGCTTCTTTCAAGCGTTTCCTTACTGGTCCTCAGTACTCTAAATTTATTTTGCATTCTGTTACTACAAATACCTTACCTGAGAATAGCAGTATTAAGTATGCTTGCACATTTATCATGCCATTTGATTTTTCAGGACAACATGTAAGGTAGAAGGCAGGTAATCATTTCCCCTGTTTGACAGAAGGGTTACATGGCTTGCTGAAAGTCATACAGTTAACAAAGCTGGGACCAAAAGCCAAATCTCCTGACTCCTGGTCCTCAGTTGAGAAATCCTGTTTTGTTATGGCCGAGGGAACATTGAAGTAGGATTAACTTCCCCAGCATGGGCAACTATTTGCTTTCTAAGTCTGGACTTTGTTACTAGAAGAGGACAGAGCAGAGCCAACAGCACTGGTTCCTGGAGGCATTTCTTGAGGTACGGGGCATATGCCAGGGTGCTGGGCAATACTGTGTTGTCAAAATGAAAGAAGCTTTATACCCTCCTTTGTATTATGGATGGGGAGAAACATATCAACTTACTCCCATCCCCCAACCACAGGGAAGAGAACGTGTGGTCTGGCATTGCACCTTTATCTCTGATTAGTTTAAAAATAGCACACTGAAGGTGTTGTGGCTGATGAGCGTAGTCAAGGAAGGAGTATGTACAAGACTCAGAAGGGCGTGTGGGGGTGAGGAAAGGAGTTTGGACGGCAGCTATTCTGCGTTGTGTTGACTTGATCTCTCAGCACTGTGCGTTTGAAACCTGGTCTCCCTCTGCTTGGTTTCATCCTTTTAGTAATGAGTGCCTCTTCAGCCTGATCATACTGCTACCTCTAACCTCGGTTGCCTACCTTGGAATAATTTCTCATTTTACTGCTCTTTTTTTTTTAAAGCCTGTTCCCTTCAGGAATAGGTTCTCACTTGGGAAGTTGAATTGCACCTGTACCAACATTTTTGAGTATCTTCTTATGAAATAGTATTTTCCAATTGGAAGATAGGACCAGAATTCTTTTTGGTAGTTATTTGCACGAATAAAAGAATCTCTGTGGACTTCACACTTCTCCCCTTCTCTGCCTTTCTTCTTGTCCTTTTTTCTCCCCATCTCAGGTATGTTTGAATCTCCTGGGCCATGCTGTGATTCCTTAGCCAAAGGTTTTGCTCCATAGGTGGGGGTCCTGTATACCTAGTGTAGAAACCTTAATGCACTTGTCTCATCCTTCGCAACAAATCGCCAGATCTGAGTCTGACCAGTCTTACCGCCACGTGGAGGTCCTTACCCTGACTCACCTTTTTCTTCCTTGTTCCTATTAATAGAGTGCTCCTGATTGTGACATCACATCCATCCCTTTGGTGATAGAACTTACTCTGGGAAGGAAGACTCAGTTGGAGAATAGCCAACAAGATGGGTTACTGGGAGCCTCTCCTGAGTGGCACTGAGTGGAGGCATCAGGGGGTTGGAGCCTTGTGAACAGGGAACCTGCCCCCCAACACTTGGAAGGTAAAGAGCCTTGATTTAGAATCCCATTCCAGGCTTCAACCCTCTTCTCTGCCATTTGGGTTGCTTCTGCTCTTGAAAACCTGCCTCTTAAAACTTCTTTCTGCATAAATCTTTTCAAGATTGGCCCACGTTGTTCTTTGTATTTTTATGCCTCAGTGTTCTTTTTCCAAATTGAAGAAGAAAGTTTATTTAGAAAGTCACACATAAAGGTGGAAAGCGGTGAGCCAGCTGGGCCTCATGGGCTCAGGAAACAAGTTACAGAGGCAAAAGAAGGGCCCACGTAACTTAGGAGAGAGAAAGGCAAAGGTTGTGTGTCTGGGGGAAGGAGAAGGGGGAAAAGCATGGGCATGCTCCCCAAGACAGCAGTGCCTAAGAATGGGGTGGGGAAAGGCACTGGTGTGTGTGTGTGAGAGAGAGAGAAGAATGGAGGGAGGGAAGGAAGGAGGGAATTAACTTTTACCTATTGGTAAATTGCTTAGTAAATTTTATGTCTTTTTATGTGTTTATGCTGGATACTCACTCAGTGGGCTCAAGCCTACACTTTAGTTTGACAAGGATTATGCTTTCTGTTTCCTTTACTTGTCTCTCCTGTCAAGGGAGCTGTGCCTATAGGACAAAGGTGAGATTTGGGGTAATCACAAATAGTACTTGGTGCTGGTAACAAGGTGAGAGGTCCTGGCTGCCTTTGAGGCCCAGTAGGCCTCATTTTAGAAATTAGATACATTTTTAAAATTTTCTCTTTTTTTATTGTTGTTCAATTATAGTTGTTCCCATTCCCCACCCCCCCCCCATTACTCTCCCCTGGCCTACCCACCCCCCCTAGGTGTTAGATGAATTCTTGAAGAATTGTATACCCTCTGGATTCTTTTGTAAAGTGAATCCATTAAAATGGTTTCACTTTACAATACTAAAGAAGCCTAACTTTTAAATCTGCTATAGTAAATCCAGTGTGGATCACAGCGTTTTGGAATTGAACAGAAAAAGACTCTTTCTTTTCACTTAAAAAGTCAAGAGAGTTGCCCAAAGAGAGCAAGGTCAGTTAATGGTAAAGCCAGAACACCTAATTTACCTATTTTTGTTTTATATGCTGAACCTGAGAATCATGGGGTTTGTAGAATGCCTTAGAACTTATGTAGTCGTGGGAGGATTTGAGATCTTGCTTCCTGGTGTATGTCATTAATTTGGCTCAAATGCTTATAAAACTTAAACAGTTACATAGTCCAGTATGTAACTAGACTATGATTTCTTTATTTTTTTAATTTGTTTTTATTTTTAAAGGAGGTTATTTATTTATTTTTAGAGAGTGGGGGGAGGTGGGAGAACGAGACAGAAAAACATCAATGTGTAGTTGCCTCCCCCGTGCCCCCCACTGGGGACCTGGCCCACAACCCAGGTATGCACCCTGAGTGGGAATTATACCAGTGACCCTTTGGTTCACAAGGTGGCACTCAATTCAACTGAGCCACACCAGCCAGGGCTAAAGATTTAATTTATTTAGAGAGAGGAAGGTAGGGAGAAAGAAAGGGAGAGAAACATCAGTTGGTCACCTCTCACACACGCCCCAGCTGGAGACCAGACCCGCAGCCCAGGCATGTGCCCTGACCAGGAATTGAATCAGCCACCTTTTGGTTTGTGGTACGATGTCCAGTCAACTAAGTCACACAGGCCAGGGCAAGAATGCTTATGGAACAAGGAAACTAAAGCCCAGAGAGGTTAAGAAACTTGCCCAAGGCCGCACATTTGGTCAGTAATAGAGCTAGAACAAGGACTCAGATTTCTGGATTCTCCACTCAGTTTTCTTTTTTCCAGACCTATTCCTTCTTTGTGAGACAGGGAGGTAGCGATGAAATGTTTGGGGGATGCCTATGAAACCCTTCACCGACTAATTTCATTTCTTTTCTTTTCTTTTCTTTCTTTCAAGATTTTATTTTTATTTTTAAAGAGAGGGGAAGGGAAGGAGAAAGAGAGGGAGAGAAATATCAATGTGTGGTTGCTTGTCGCGCACCCCTACTGGGTGGGAACCTGGCCCACACCCCAGGCATGTGCCCTGACTGGGAATTGAACTAGCAAACTTTCGGTTTGCAGCCTGGCCCTCAATCTACTGAGCTATACCAGCTAGGGCCTGACTAATTTCTTCACTAGGCTGAAGTTCCTAGGAGTTACCTCTTTCCTTAAGGGGCCTTTTCCTTCTGTGTCTCTGGTGGGGTTTGTAATTGGGGCTGGAGACTCCTCAGCCCTCTGTACATCTGTTGTATTCAGGGGCAGAGAGGAAAATTAGCAGAAGTGAGCCTACAGCACATATACCTGACTTTACCCTTACACTTTTGCCAAGATTAGTGACAACATGCCTAGTTACCCTGAAACACTAATGATTCTTATCTAATGTTTCCCTTGAGTGAGGGTGTGGGTGTGCATGGTATGCACACCTGTATGTGGGTTGAAGAAATCCTGAATAAGGGAGGATAACTGTTCAAGTTCCTTTACAAACAAACTTTTGAATTTCTAGCTCACTTTAGGGGCACACCAAAGAAAACAGCTGCAGCAGTAAGTTAAAATGGTATAGGAAGGGGTCTCTTGCATTTTCATAGTAATGCTGAGCAGGAATAGAGAGAGAGACCCCAGGGTAACAGTGAGGAAGGAAAGGAGCACAACCTGGTTTGGCTCTGGCCTGCAGAACAGCAGGTGGGGAATGCCGTTTTCAGTTTGGGTTCAAGATGTTCAAATCAGAGAGGCTGGCGGAACTCCCGTAAACCTGGAGGGACACCTCAGCGCTGCTTCACTGCAGTTACCCAGTTTGAGCGGAACGTTTTCCTGTCCTCAAGGAGGATATCCAGGAAACTGCTTCCTGTGGTTCTGGCCCCTGACTGTGACTTCTGGGGTGTCTGTGGAAAGGTATCCTGGCCCCTTGACAGCCCCGCAGCAGCGTTAAGAGTCCTAGAGAGTAGAAGGGCTAATCAAGGAATCTAGGCTGTCAGCTGGACTGTCTGCCTAGGGGCGGGGCAAGGAGCTGGCTGCCAAGGTGGTAGGGATCCATGTCCACATTGGTTCCCTGTAGGTGACAAATAGGGAATACCCTAATAGGACTGGAAATCTAAATTTCCCCTGAGTTACTGAGGCAGTACCACAGAAAGAATGCATGTATAGGAGGGTGGGTAAAATGGGACTCTTAGCAGATAAAGCCCAAGGGCTGGGTGGAGGGGGAGTGTGTCGATTTAGGAGGAACAATGCTTTACAGTGAGAGCTTTGCAGCTCCTAACCCTGGCTGGTGGCTTTGCACATCTTCTGTCCACCTGTGCAACAACTGAGGCAAGTTCTGAGCTGTTTATTTTGGGGATATAGGATCTAAGGCCCCATTAAGATAAGTTTTCAGCCCTGACTGGCATGGGTCAGTGGGTTGGGCGTCCATCAGCAAAGCAAAAGGTCACTGGTTTGATCCCAGACAGGGCACATGCCTGGGCTGCAGGCTGGGTCCCTGATTGGGGGCCTGTGAGAGGCAAACCAATCAATGTTTCTCTCCCTCTCTCTCTCTCTCTCTAAAAATAAATAAAATCTTTTTTTTAAAGATAAGTTTTCAGAATTTATATTCCTCATTAAGACAATATCGTTAGCATTGGTTTAAGATAAAAGTTCAGTGAAGCGCAATACAAACTCTAGGCCAGTTTTCTACATAGCAACAAGGGTAAAAAGGATAATGTTACTTTAATTTTTTAAAATTTTATTTATTTTTGGAGAGCGGGTAAAGGAGGGAGAAAGAGAGGATGAGAAATATTGATGTGAGGTTGCCTCTCGTGCGCCCTCTGCTGGGGACCTGGCCCACAACCCGGACGTGTGCTCTGACTGGGAATTGAACTGGCAACCCCGGATTTGCAGCCTAGTGCTCCATCCACTGAGCCACACCAGCCAGGGCAGGATAATGTTACTTTAATTTTGCCCCCTGCTCTAAGGATAACTGATTTTCTTTAAAATATTAAACCTTGCAGAAATATATAATCTAGATTGAAGGTATAATCTTAGCATCTAGATTTTTTAAATGTGCACTCTACAAATATTACTTTTTATTTTTAATTGTTTTTATAAAAATTAGACCATACTATACATACTATTTTTGCAATTTGCATTTTTCAGTTTGAGAGGCAGATTATCACAGTGGTTAAAAGCTTAGACTCTGGAGCCAGTCTGCCTGGGTTTGAATCTGACTGAACTACTTGCTAGCCATGTGACTTTGGACACATTTTCTAACCTTTGTCACTGTTATTCATCTGTAAAATACGGACAATGACAGTCCCTACTTCATAGAGTAACTCATAGAGTTGTAAGAATTAGATGAGTTAATATATAAGAAAGCTTAGGATAGTGCCTAGCATATAATAATGTTCAATAAGTGTTGACTTAGTTATTATTTAATTGTAAATTAAGTTGTAAATTAATATTAATTACTTGTAAATTGTAAATTATTTAATTGTAATAAGTAAAACATGATCATTGTAGAAAAAGTAGGGAAAACCAGTAAAGAAAAACAGAGTGAAATTCAAATTATTATAAGTCTACATTTAGAGACAGCCTCTCTAATGTACATCCTTCTAGGTGCTATCCAATATAAATGTGTTCACACATAAATATAAACATACTATTTAATAAAAATGACACTATAATATATAATGTGCATAAGTGTTAATTTATTATATAATAAGTAAGTTATTAATAAGGAACAAATATAGGTAAGTCATATTATTACTACATAGTATCTCATTTTATGAATTTAAGGAGTTCTGCTGGATATTTGTAGGGTTTTGTTATTTTTTTCTATTATAAACAATGATTAGATAAACTACCTGGCATACTGGTTTTATACCCTTCTGTAGTTATGGCCTTAGGCTAAGTTCCTGGAAGTGAGAGTGCTAGGTAAAGGGTATGTACTTTTGGGGGGACATTTCCTACTTTTTGTTATGATTCAATTTGATCTGCTTTTTCTTGTGAGAGTACATTGTTTCTAGACCTTG